ACAGTGAGAGAGGGACTGTCCTCCTCCGTGTGACTGTGTGTGTATGTGTGTGTGGATGCCGTGCGCTGGACGGAAGAATTTCCGCTGCCGCGTCTCATACGCCTTGCTGCTCTCTTCGCTTCTTTTTTTTTTAATTTTTGGTGGGTGCTGTTTGTCCGCGTGCATGCGATACGCTGTTTCAGAGGTTAAGGAGAAAAAGGGAGTTTGTGGTACGTGTCAAAGTGGGAGGCACTGCGCACTATCGTGCTTACCTCAAAGGACATTTCAGCACGGGGCAGCGGCTAGAAGTACTGCTACTGTCCTCTTGCTGCTTTCAGGCTCTGTCAGTCGTCACAACTGGGCAAGGTGCTTCTTCGCCGAAGCGTGTGTCGCTGCCTGCGGCTGAGTGAAGTGGAGAGGGGAGGGAGTTGCCAAGTTCCGAGGGTGCATAGTGGGGCCATCATGGATAGCAATAGCTGTTACGCGTGCTATGCGGAGGTCGCGAATGTTGTGGCCAACCTCAAAAGCCTCTACTACCATCAGACAAAGGGCAAAGGAGGGACAGATTTGCTGCACCGCATATGGCGTGCGATGGGAGAGCTGTTGGAGGAGCAGCTGATATCGAAAAGGTCCTGCATCGTGACGGACTTCTTCCATGCTAGCGTCAAGCTGCAGAAAGTTGAGTACTATGATGGCATGTGTAGTTTTTATAAACCACAGTTTGTGCTTTTGCCTGACTTTACCTCGAAGTTTCACCTGCAAAATGTGCTCACAACTGCGGATGCCCACTATCACGCCACTGTACCTCAATTCATCAGCTATTCGGCCATTGCGGATGTGGCTGGCACCGATCGATTTGTGGTGGAGGCGGCCATTCAAGACTCCACGCGTGAAATCGGGAAGTACCTCGTCCGCAACCCGCGTACAGTCCTCCGTATCGACATTGGCATCGCCTTTTTGGAGTTTCGCGGTCGCGAGTATCGCATTAAGTGGACGAAGGAGTTTTTGCAGCGTTTCACGGAGGCCGTGGGGCCACGGTCTTATGTGTCGCCGTACGATCCCCCGCCGATGCTGCCCGCGGCGACGCAGTGCCGCTTCCGGACGGACTGCTTGTCGAAGGACACCCTTCAGACGTCGCTGCTGGAGACCGTGGAGCGGGAGAAGCGCCTGGCGGTGGTGGAGATGAATGACTCGAAGGGAGGGTCGGGCTTTCGAAAGTCCTTCTGGTGACATGCACTCTGCAACGACGAAAAAGAAGGACGCCTCTGTGCCTCTCCACGGAATGTGGCGCGGGGGAGACTAGATTGAACAAGCGTCCCGTGGGAGGGGAGCTTTTGCGTTGAATGTAAATGCAGATATATTGTAAAACGAACAAGTACCAATAACGAATGAGAAACAGGGAGTCTTTGAATGGATACATCAACACGGGCATAAACATATCTATATCTATATCTAGTTATGTATGTATGTGTGTGTATGCAGCTGTCTGTGTGTATGTATGTGCGCCGCCCCCGCTGGGAAAAGCTCTTTCGGTTTGAGGGGGCACGCAGCTCTTCGGTTTTATCAGCCCCAAGTGGGAAGCGTCACGTGCGGCAGCGCCTTGCGGCTGTTGTGTCGCTCCTGCTGCTGGTCCCCGTGAAAGTTTTTTTTTAGTTTTGTTTTGCGTTTTGTTCGCCTTTTTTTTTCGCCTACTCCTTTTAAGAGAAGTTTAAACTCGTACGAGCAGAACAACAAAGCCCCCTCCACGCAAAGCAAAAAAAAAGAAAAAGACGGGGGAAAAAACAAAAAAAAGACATAAATGAGGTCATACAATTGTGGCCCGATGCCACTAGGGGAGCGCGGGGTTCTCATGACGTACCAGGGCCAGCAGCCGCAACACCAGCAGCAGGGCCAACCGCTCCAGCATCATCTTCAACAGCCGCAGCTACAGCCGCAGCTACAGCCGCAGCTACAGCCGCAGTCACAGCCGCAGCCGCAGCATCACCCTCACCATTTTTACAACTATCATGCACAGTACCAGGGTATGTTGCCTCCCAATGCTGCCGCCGTCCCTCCGCTCACGCAAGCCCCTTTTTACCCCATTCCCGGGGTTTTGCCCGCGTCCCCGTACTACAATCAGCCCCAGCATCATTTACACCAGCATCAGCAACAACATCACAGCAAGCATCAGCAGTATCCACCGCAGGCCCCAGGTGTGGGGTACGGTAACGCCGCGCATTCAGGATTTTCTCTGTACGCCCCTAACGTCTTTGAGGTAGGTTATTCTGTGCCTCAGCCAAAGTACTACCGAGAGAACCATCGTGGAGGCCGTGGCCGCACGGGAATGAGGGGGGGATATAACGCCGAGGGCGACACCCGCGAGTCCTACTTTGAGGTCCATTTAAAGAGCTTTGACGAACTGGAAGAGGCACGCCGCAAGGGAAGCCTGCGTGAATCCCTGCAACCGATGGTGATTGGAAGAATGAGGCGTCGAGCCTCGCCCGGAGTACTAAAGATTCTTGTGATTGTGGACCATCAGTATCTTGCGGCGTGCATGTCGGTGCCGCCATCTGACGACGACGTTATTCTCTCGAAGGAAGTCTCGACTCAGTTTCTAGACGTACAGCACGTGTATTGCGACGATGGAGTTCGATTAGTGGACATGGAGGATGGCACACATGTTGCCAAGCACGTGTACTCGACTCTTCGAATTGCCCTGCAACAACTGGCCGCCTACGACAAGACAGACCCTGATGTGGACGTTGCTGTGGATTTTACATCGTCTAGCGGATCACTTTTGCTGAAGGACCTCCTCCTTCATCGTGGCGCATCCACGCTGCTTTCGGAGGTCTTGGAAGGAGACGACGAGGCTGCGGATAACCTGTGGTTGCGTCTTCTTTTGGCGCCCTCCTTTTCCGCGACTAACGATGGCGCGGATGGCGCCCTGCAGAAACAGTCACCCACTGGGAAGACGAACACCCCCCCGCTACTCCCCTCGTGTGGGGTAGGAATTCTTGCCACCGCGCAAGGGACCTGGCTGTTTAGAAAGGCAGTGCTGCACCCCAAACGACGAGAGACTTTGTTCTGCGTGTTGCAGGAAGCGGCAGTGCCCCCGCCTCAGGAGGAGTCCGAGGCGTCGCCGTCGTCACTTATGCCGGAGAATCTCTTTTTGGCGCTCTTCTCGTGCCCCTTGGCGTCGCGTTTTGTGTTTGAGTGTTTTGGCCTCGTGGAGGGGGTAACTCGCTGCGAGGCGGAGGTAAGTGTCTTGTGCGCCGCCCTAGAGCGACTCGCACTCAAGGTGGTGTGCAGCAACGGCGGTAGTTTCCTCATGACGGCGTTGGTGAAGGCACTCTGCCCAAGTCGCTTCAGTGGTGGACACAAGACGGGTGGAAAACGCGGACGCGAAAACGAGGCCCAACCAAAGCAACAACGCGACGCCAATGACGGCCACTATGAGGAGGATGGCGCTGAAAACGGCGGCGGCGGGAAGGAGGGCAAGCCGTATGGAATGGACGGGCAAGCGCCACCCATGCAGGTGGTGGCCACCGGCTTTAATGTTTCGGAGATGTCCTCTGAGTGGCGGCTGTTCTGCGCGGTAGCTCGGGCCTTTGTCTCAGGCCCAATCCCGGGTGACGCAAAGGAAACTGAGGCAACGTTGAACCGTCGTGTCAAGCTGCTTACGCAGCACGTCGTTGCGTGTCGAGCTATACAGAGTCTTATTCCTTTCTTTGCGGATGCCGTTCTTCAGGGAGAACTTGTCCGCCAAGAGCCGCAGGAAGGTGCCCCTGACACGGTGCCCGAGGCAGCACAGTTCTACGATGACTGCGCGAAGATTCTCTCGGAGATCGCAAGTCAAAGTGGACTCTTGGCAAACCATAGCTACGGTAATTATGTGTTACAGACCGTTGTGTCGGAGCTGGCGCAACGCACTGTTGCCGGGTCCCCGATCCAGTCGATGCTACACAATGTTTTTGATGTGTTAATTAGTAGCATATTCGAGGTCAGTATGCAGAAGTTTGCCTCTAACTGCGTTGAGACGGCAATCGCGGCGTGTCACAAGCTCCCGGACCGCAGCGCCCTCATTCTGCGTTTTGCCACTGCTTTGCTCTCGGGAGGCCCAAACCGCATGGAACAGGTAGCGATGCACCAGTACGGCAACTACGTTGTGCGCCGCATACTAGACTCCCTCACCGCCATCGCCACCGGGGCTTCCCCTACCGCCACCCCGGCGGAAGTGCGGGAGGCGTGTGAGGTGGAGCGGCAGTACTTCAACAAACTCAGTGCCCAGTCCCATCGTCTCCGTCAGACGTCGTACGGGTCTGGGCTGCAGGCGTGGGTGGAGAATCAGCGCGAGAGGATGCAGGGCATGGCGGCGGCAAGAGCAGGAGTCAACGTGCAGGCGGCTGAGTGACACGGCGCCGCACACCACGCGTGAGGAGGACAAGGGGGCGAAAGGGCAACGGCGAAAGACGCGGCAGAGAACCTCCGCGGGCCCGTCGCCGCACCTCCGCCACTTACACACGGCTGGCTTCGGGGAAAAGCGGTATGAAGACAAGAGAAGGAAAAGAGAACTCACAAAAAACAAAACGGTGAAATTGAAAGCTAAAAAAAGGGGTGGGGGGACAAAAAAAAAGAAGCGAAAGTGTGTGTGTGAGTGTGTGGGGGGCGGAGGAATGAGAAGGGAACGTCGGGGGTGGGGGAGAATCCGGAACACACACAAAAAGTGAAACAGCGGGAGAACGTGGCGGAGAGGGGAGCAGGGAGAACACGCATAAAACCCCCGCGACGCAAACATGTAACAGCGACGGAGTCTTCCAGAAAGGACTTTAAGAAACGGGAAAAGAAAGAAAAAAATGTAAGGAGTAAACAAGCCAACAAACAAAAAAAAAAAACGTTACAGATTAAAAGAGCCGCAGGGGAATTGAAGGGTCCCGTTGGCAGCTTGCTTCTATTTTGTTGCTGTTGTCATTTTTCCTGTAGAGGTCTTTTTTTTTTTTGAAGGGGGCTGTGTGGCAACGCTTGGCTCAATAATCAGCACACACGCGCACATGCACACTTAGCTTGCATGTACAGCGCACGCGGAAGCCTGGAAATAGGGGAGGTGATGGGCAAAACGAGGGGTGGGGGGTCCCATTTCGTTGTGGGAATAAACTAAAAAAAGAAAGGCGTTGGTGGCCAGATAGAGCAGTGCGATGCTACGGGAAAACCTGGTAGAGAAGGGGTAAAATGGAAGTGCGTCGTTTCTAGTTACTCTGTGGTGGAAGCAAATAAAGAAAAAAAATATGTGCATCGTGGTGTGGACAAGTGAGGAGGATGGGTGAATATCAAGAATGAAAAGGGGTATTGCACGTAACCGCGGATATTACAGAAAGTCGACATGTGCATATACAATACATATCTGCGTAGATTTGTCTGTAGCAAGGAACAGCGAGATGGGGAGGGCTGTTGACCTCGCAGGTTCCCAACCTTGTTATTAAATTATATACGTACACCCCCTGCTTCTCGTATACATCTCTATACAAAAGTACATCCTGGCACCATGGTCATCAACATCATGCTCTTTGTCTTTTTTAGTTTGCTTAGTTTTATCCCTTTCCCTTCCCTCCTTTCATCCTTTATTCTCACACGCATTGCGTCAATCTTTGGCTCCGCTGACAAATGATTGTCAGAGATGCTCGGAACTCGTGACTGTGCGACTGCGCGGGGCGGCTGCATCTCCTTTTCCTTTCTCTCCTCTGCTGTGCTTGCTTGCTCTCTGCATCTTCCCCATTTGAGCTCCTGACTCTCTTTCTTTTTTGCCCTTCTTGTTGTTGTTGTTGTACTGCGTCGCTTAGTTGCTCTCAGTTCGAGGGTGGGACCACTGGGACAGCAAGTGTGTGTCTCAACGAGATAGAAAGAAAGAAAGAGAGTTTTCGTGTGTGTGTGTGTGTGTGTGTGTTTAGTGGCAGGAATAAGGAAAAAAGGAGCCCAAGAAGGGGAAATAAAAGGACGTAACTACAAAGTGGTAGCGGCGTTTGGCGGGAGAGGAGGTGAAGAAAAAGGGGCAAAGAGGGAGGGGGGGACGAAAGAAGAAGAAATAAAGAAGGACAAAAAGCCGTGGGGGGCTGAGGGAATTTGCGCCGTGCGGTGAAATGAACTACCCTCCATACACTGGCGTTTTTTCGGATGACCTGGCGACGTACGGGGATGAGGCGGACGAGGAAGGGCTGCCGTGGATTATGTGGTTCTGTGAGCTGAAAAGCCATGAGTTCTTCTGCGTGGTGGACCGCGACTTTATTGACGATGAATTCAACCTCACGGGTCTCTCCACGATGGTCTCCTTCTACCACTACGCGCTAGACCTCATTCTAGACCTGGAGACGCAGAACAGTGCCCGCCTGACGGCGGAGCAGCAGCGTCTGGTGGAGTCGTCAGCGGAAACCCTCTATGGCCTTATCCACGCCCGCTTCATCACGACGCAGCGCGGACTTAAACTCATGGAGGAAAAATTTGCGGAGGGAGAATTCGGTCGCTGCCCACGCGTTTTCTGCGGCGGGCAGGCGGTGCTACCGGTAGGACAAAGTGACGTCGTGCGTGAGAGTTCCGTGAAGTTGTACTGCCCGAAGTGCCAAGACATTTACTACCCGCGCTCCTCGCGTCACCGCACACTCGACGGTGCCTTCTGGGGGACGACGTTCCCGCACCTCTTCCTCATGCATCTGCGCGACAGTGGCAAAGTGATCACAAAGCCAAAGCAGCACTACGTCCCCCGTATCTACGGCTTTCGCCTGCATGAGAAGAGGGACGCCAATGAGGTGTGTGGGGACGAGCAGGCGCCGGCAATGGCGGAGGAGGAAGTGGGAGCGGGGGATAGGGCCGTTGATGCGTCTGTTGGTGAAAGCAACACCCCGCGGAACACGCCCGATGCCTTGCGAGCAGCGCAAAACCGCTATAGGGACCCCAACGGCGAGCATGCCGAGGCACCGCGGCAGTGACGCGGGGTGTCGCGACCTCACCAGCAGCTCCCGCCCTCCGCAAGAGCAACAAGAAGGAACGAGGAGGAGCCAAAAGAGGCAGTGGGGGAAGGATGCAGAAGAGGAAGTGGAAGAGCTGAATAAATGGATCTGAGTCGAACCTGGCGTGTTTCGCCCCAACCACGTCCCGGCGTCGGCGTCTATTAAATCTCTCCACGCCCGTCATGAACGTTTGGCACGCGTCGTGGGGGAATAAACTTTGCCTTTGGAGGAACGAGGGGAGGGGTGTGCCGAAGCGGAGGAGAAAAGGAGACAAAAAATAGAAGCATGAAGATGTATACGTATGATTATGAACGTATTCAATTGGAATGAGAAGGCTTAAAAGAAAAAAAAAAGGAAACTTGCGGGACGAGGAGGAGGAGGATTTAGAAGGGGAAGTAAAATTCTGGAAGAGGACAGAGTACCCGTTTAACTTTATTACTTTGGTGAGGAACGGTGGTGGAGAACTTTGCGTCGATGTTTCTTTCCTGTTGGGTGTGTTTTTTTCTTTCTTTCTCCGACGTTGACCAGCGCTGAACGGTGATAAGGTGTACTTCTCTGTTCTCCAAAGGAAGTTGATTCCATCTTATCTATCTTTTGCTTTTCTTTTGTCTTTGCGCTGTGCATTGTGGTGTGGCACGCCCTCTCTCTCTCTCTCTTTCTCGTTCTCTCTCCGTCTGCGCGCGTGGGCGAGTGGGTGTGGGTAGGTGGATGAATGGCGTCTCCGTCGTCTTCATTCCTTCGCCTTCTCCGCCATCTACCATCATCACTACACATACACGCACATATATATATTGTCGTATGTTGTATCTTTGTGTATGCGTGTGCACAGCTGCGTTGCCTTGAACATTTTTGATGCCGCGATCTCTGCTTTCTGAACGAAGAACGACTTTTTTGTAATGAACACAAAGAAGGACGGATTTTCACTCCCGCCGTTGGAACTCTGGCCCAACTCCACATTCGGCACATACACCCTTCATCGCCTCTCTTTATGTGCGCCGATCACTGCAACGACCCCTGTAGTTTGTGGTTGCTGCTGTTGCCTCTTTCTTGCTGCGTCTAACCCCTCGTCCCTTCTCTTATTTTCCTTTTTTGTTTATTTGCTTCTTGTTGTTGTTGTTGTTTTTTTTACCTTCTCTGTGCTGGGGCTTCTTTTGCTCGCCATGGGGAGTTCCGCATGATGGAGTCTTCTTTGGCGAGGACCGGCGACGGTGTGCCCGCGGCGAAGGAACCTCCCACAGGAAGGCGGCGGCGGCGCAGCAGCCCCGTGAGGCGTGAGGAGGCCCCTCGCACGCACGGGGCCGGTGTGCCCAAGGAGGAGTCGGGGCGGGAACTGCGGGCGGACGATCCGACAGAGCTGCCAGCGGCCAAGCGGCCGCGGGCAGAGGCCAAGACGCATTCGACCTTTGTGGAGCTTCGCCGCACTCTGGTGGACGCGGCAGCGGTGGCCAACTTCATTACGCAGCACCACGAGACGAGACTGCGGGAGGTGAAACAGGCCAACAGCTTCTACCAAGCCATTAGCAACTGCACGGAGGACCTCTTCGCCTCACTCTGCCAAGAGCACCGGCGTCAGGTGCACCTCGCACTGGAGAGAATGTTTGAGTTGTATGCAACGGGGAAGGTCGCAATGTCTCCCGCGGTGCACGAGTTTCTCATTCGCTGTGAACAGCATGGTGTAAAGACGGTGGAGTGGGCCACCGAACTCGAGTCTGAGGCACCAACCACCGCTACTAACACTACTACTGCTGCCGACACAATCACGGGCACTGTCACGGAGAGCGCAACACAGCCAGAACAGCGACAACATCAGCTGCCTATGCTGCTGTTGTCTCCCCGAGAGCTTCTCAAGAAACTTGCGGGTATTGATCCGCGCGGAAGGCTGGAGCGTATGATCGAAATGTGCTCCACTCTGGGCGACCTCCACACCTGTGCGCGTAAACTGTGCAAGGCGACAGGGAATGAGGGGCGATGGGAGTATGCGACAACGTGTCAACTGATCAGCAAAACAGCCTCAAAGACCCGCCGGATTTGTGGGGCGGCGTTGCTTGCCGAGACGCCACATCTCTCTAAAGAGGACGCAGCGACACTGAGCGACGTGGTCGGCTCCCTGCTTTCCGTCACGAGGCGTGCCTTGGCTGCACGGCCTCCTTCCTCCTCGCAGCAGCCCATCTCAAAGCTGAGCCACCTCGCCAAGTGGTGCGCGGGCCACGGTCTCCTTGAAAAGAGCCACGCTGAGGCGGTTGCGGCACTTGAGGCGCAAGCGACGCGCGACCTGGGAGCACAGGCAACCCAGCTAGAGACGGTGATGATGCTTAAGGCGCTTCCCGCCGGGGATGAGGCGGCGGCGCGCGCGGCCCTTGACGGCATATGGAATGAACAGGAGGGACACTTTAAGCCCTACAGCGCAGACGTGCTCTCCTCCATTGCGGTTGTGGCGGCTGCCAACGGCATCTCAGCCGCGTTTCGAGCGCTCGTCGCTGCGAGACTTGTGAAGACGCAGCAACGACAGCTCCATGGGTGCGGCCTGCAACTTCCACGACGTGCTCTCAAGTTTGTGAATGACGAATACTCGAGAGAAAAGCAGGAGTCAATCAAGCGCATGCTTGCCGCCGAGCAGGAGAAGAGCAAGAAAACACAGGAATCATGAAATTTCTGTTGTGCGCGTGTTGGGGAAGGAGTGGCGACGATGATTGGTTATTCAGCAAGGGAGACGCGGTTAAAAGGCTTTTGTAATGAAGCGGGAAACTTAAAAAAAAACAACAACAGAGACAATGAAACGGCGTACGGGAAGCAGGATTATGGCGTCCACAGGCGTTCCTGTTCGGTTTCTTCCCTTCGTGCCTACCAGAAATGAAAAGTGTGGCGCAACACCGTGTTTTTTTTTGCATTTTTTTTTGCAGTTAGATGTGCGTTTATTTCGTTGCTTCCTCCTCCACCCTCGCCACCTCTTGTGGTGATTGTTGTTGTTGTTGTTCTCTCTCTGTGTGTGCGTGGCTCTTGCTTGTGGGGTAAGCCTCGACGGGAAATATTATATTTGTAGCTGAGTGGCCGTCATGTCATCAATGATCAACCTGGAGAGACTGAACACCGGCCTCACGCGTGTGGCGAGCGTCAAAAATTACCCCGTCACCCGGCCGCAGCAGTTGCCGCGGACGACGAAAGGGCGCGTCTTTCGTCTGGGGGTGCTTCACAGCAAAGAGATGACGGAGGCGATGCTGCTGCGGAACCGACGTGGATTTGTGAACAGCCAGGTGAACACTGTTGCCCACGCCCCCTCCATCTACCACTGGCTCTTTCACCGCTGCGGTGTACCATTTGAGGAGGCGCAGGAGTTAGCGATGTCCGGCGGATTAACCGTTAACGGCGCAGCCGTCGACCGTTCGAGGTTAGAAACGCAGCTGGAGTGGGACGCGTTGCAGAAATTAGACATTCGCATTCGGGTAGAGGCATCTACGGCAGACCGGACGTCTGGCCCCACGGTGGACAACAATACGAATACGAGGGATGCCCACAAAGGTAGCAGTAGTGGTTCTGCGAATGTCATGTGGGTGCCCGCATTGAAGCGGGCGTTGCATCGGCAGTACTTCTTCGTTTACCTGCACCCAGGCATATCCATCACATCTGATCAAACCGACCCACGCTCTTTTGTGCACCGTCTCACCCCGCTTGTGGGCAGCGTTGCCGGGATCGGCATGAACATCCTGCGACCGATTGGTTTTATGAATGGAATGAAAGGTATTGGCTTGGCAACAAACGATGTGTCTATGGTGCGGTATTGGAACAATGAGTTTCTCGGGAATTTTGGCGTCTACGATGTCCGGTTTGCTCGCGGTGTGCCCTCCGACGTCCTCCAGGGACTCACCGACGAGGTCAACAACGTGTTGAACGACGGTATTCGGAGGCAGCTGTCGAAGGATGTTAACGTGCCCTGCGCGTGTACGCTGGAGCCGGTGCCAACCTCAGCCAAGCACCGTCATGCTCACAAGGGTGACTTTGTGGCTGGGCTCTACTCCAAACCACTTCACGACGAACGGCTAATCATACGTAGTCCGCTCCTGCCGTATCGCGTGGCACGCAAGGTGCGTCGTCTCGGGGGCTTTGTGACGATGGTGCGCTCCGGCCCCTTTGCGCTCCCGCCCTCACTTCCGCAGACGAAGCAGAGGCCCTTGTCGCCGCAGGAGCTGGCGCTGATGTTCACCTTCGAGCGGAGGCTCAAGACAAACCGCGTGGTGCTGAGTCTTCGTGAGTTTGATGCGGATAATGATCTTGATGGTGTTGCCCCTGAGGTTATTTTGCCCTTCACTTGAGTGAGCGTCTCGGCCCGTATGGTTTTTGTCCCAGCTATATTCAGCTAAATTTCACAGATTTCATATTCTGATGAATGACTGGGAGAAGCAAAACAAAGCAAAAAAAAAAGGAAGGGATAGAGGCGAAGAAGAAGTAGTCACGCTTGAGTATCTTGCGTGTGAGGGAGATGAGGAGTTGCCTCATTTCATTTGTTGCCGCCGTTGTCGGTTCCTCCACCCCTCTTTTCCGCCTCTCCGCCTGCCCCCTCCGCCATTCGCCTCCTCCGTTTCCCTCGCTGCCGACCGATGAGGGTCACTGTTTTAGCGGAGTAGCCAGCGGCGATGTCGTGGGCCGCCGCTGCACAGAAGGGCAAGGATGTGACACCGGCATCCACTGAACCAAGGCGGGTTGTCTTCGCTCCCGCCGTGGACGCTGTGGCGAGCGATGACGACGAAGCTGGGCGTGCCGGCGCCGGCACGACGATTCGTCACGCTGTGGGGGCGACGATCCCTGCGTACCAAAAGGGTCTTCTCGTCCTTGACGCGAATGCGTTCATTAAAGGGATGGACAACTTCAACGACGTGGCGGATGCACTGGTGACGACGTCGCAGGTTGTCGCGGAGGTGCGGGACCGGGTCGCCCGTGACCTGCTGGGTCGTCTTCCACAGGCCCTACACGTGCTGGAGCCCTCGAAGCAGGCGCTAGCGGCTGTTGTGGGCGTTGCGGGGAAGACGGGTGATTTGGGAGCCATGAGTCGGACCGACCTCCGCCTCTGTGCGTTGGCACTGGACTGCTGCAGAGCCGCCGACGCTCTGCAGCCGCCTATTGAGCCGCGGCAGGCCATCATCAACCCTGGTGGCGCGCACGGAACTGAAATAGTGACGGAAGCCGTGGCGGGCGACGCCGAGGAGGAGGAGGAGGAGGAGGAGGATGCAGCGGCAGAGGAGGAGGAGGTTGAAGACGATGCCGACGATGTCGACGACGAGGGGTGGATCACCCCGGAGAACATCCACCAACACCGTCAGGGCGGCGACGGGGCGGTCGGGGAGCGCTTTGACGGCGGCGTTGCGTGCGTCACCTCCGACTACGCGATGCAAAACACCCTGAAGCACCTAGGGGTCCCCATTGTGGGGCCGCACGGCATGCGCATCCACGAGCTCCGTCAGTGGCTGCTGCGCTGCACCTCCTGCTTCGCCCTCACAACGGACACAACGCGGCAGTTCTGCGGCGCATGCGGCAGTGGGAACACTCTGAGGCGCGTGCAGTACGTGGTGACGCGCGACGGCAAAAAGCAGCTGTTCATCAACTTTTCCAAGACCATCAGCACGCGCGGCACAGTCTACAACCTCCCGAAGCCGCGTGGGGGAAAACGTGGGACTAACCGCTGCCTCGTGCTGCGCGAGGATCAGTTGGCGCACGTCATCCGCGGCACGACATCCGCCAAGCAAAAGGAAAAACACGTGGCAGGCGGCGGCGGCTGCACCAACGATGACGACTTGGCGGCATTTGGTCAGGCCCCGAAGCAGCATAGGCGGGACGTGAATCAACCGCGCATGTTCTCCTCCTACCACAAGTACAACGTGAATGAGAAGAAGAAGGCCCGTGCCTCCAGGCGGAAGTAGGCCACAGACGCGTAAAAACAGACAAATAACTCGGCGGCCGCAGCGGCGTTAGGAAACTAAAACTGGACGAGGGAATGGAGGAGTACAGAAGCAAAAAAGAAAAATGATAATAAAAAAATACATTTCGGATAATGAGCTGTGAAAGTTAGTTAAGGAGACACACACGCAGAAAAGAAAAGAGCGGTGGGATAATGGAAAGAGAGGGAAAAGAAGGGAAAATAGAAAAAAAAAAAACAATTGCCCCCGCTAGGAACACCTCTTTGCCGTTCCTCTTTAAAGAGGAGATGTGAATATAGCATGACGAGGCTTCTGGAAATGCGCCTCTGACGTCATACATTGGGTGTGGTTTCGCGTGCTTTTCTTGACCTTAGAGGCACCTCGCTGGGCCTTCTGGAAGCAACTCTCTGCAGGTGGAGGGAGAGTCTGCCTGCAGTTTTGGCCTAATGCGATGCGCCTCATGACTCGATCTAACACAATGTTGTCTCCGCCCATGGTGAGTTCTACTTTGCGATGGCTGGTAGCATGGGGTTAAGGTATTACAGCGGGGTGGCACCTGCGGGGAGGTGTTCTGCTTCCACTGCTCTCCTTTTGCTGTTTTCTTTTTTCTTTTCTTTTTTTTTACCCTGCCCCTTTTTTAATCGTTAGGAATTGAGGTAGGTCCTTTACGATAAGGCGGCATGCTCCGTCGCACGATTGCCCGTTTCATGGCGTCAGACGCCATTGGGCCGGCGCACCCCGACATTCTTTGGGGTTACATGGACGGACGCTACGCCGGGCCTGGCTGGGTCAGCTGGATCAAGCAACTGCCCGTGGAGACGCTCACCATGCAAGGCGGCACCTCCATGACGAATATGAACGACCGCGCGGGCGTTATTTTAGATCCGGAGGACCCACGACATCCCATGGCACTCATTCAATGGGGACCGATGAACCACTACGATGGTGCCTTCATGCAACTCTCCTACGGGGACTACGGGGCTATCAAGAAGGGATCTCGTCTCATGCAAGTTTTGTATGATAATTATTTGGAACCCTTTTCCATGAATCGTGTGTGTGCGCAGCTGTACTTTTACCAAAAGGTACCAAACAACTACCACGCCTCTGTGGAGGCCTCCGCAGAGTACATAGGCCAAACCGCCTCGTTGATAGGACAGGTGATAGTAGGTATTGGTTCTGTTATAATGGAGGGGGTTACGGTGAAGGGGGACACGAATTGTGTCTACATAGCGGAGGGTGTGCAGGTGATGGAAAACACATGCATTGTGAGTGATGCTCCGACAGACTTGTTAGCCTACCAACGCCACGAGGCTATTAATCCGTATCAGCAGTGGGACGGTATGAGTGGGGTGTGCCGAATAATGCAGAACACAATCATTGAACCCAACTGCTTCCTCGATGGCTGTTCCATCGGTCCCTTTAACCGCATCGGGCACAACACCAAAATTTTAAAGGGTGTGACAACAGGAACGATGGTGCACATCCTTCCAGGCAGCGTGGTGACGGCCGATACAAAGATAGGCGATGGTGAGCTTTGGGGTGGAGCTCCCGCTGTGAAGCTTGGCAAGGTCAGTAAGTTTGAGTGGAAGCGCCCCTACTTTGCCTCACTGCTGCACAAGGAGAGTGTGGTGGAGTCGTACCGCAACATGTCTCGCTACGGAGACCAGGTAGTTCATTTTCAGGACCAAATGGGGAAGCTAAACTCGCTGATGCTAGAATATGAGTCTGACCTTGCCCCAGCTGTGAAGGCCAAAATTAAGGAGTTTGTGCAGGGGCGTGAACCCTTCCATCACATGCTCACCCGCATCACGCAGGGCTGGTCCCCTGCCAACCGCCCGGATGATAAGAATTACAACCTGTGCCCTCCCCTACCGGGTGTGAAGCTTTTCGCGGAGCACAACAACGACTCCTCCGATAGTGAGCTGCACGGAACCTATATGAACCTCACGAACATATTTAACGATTTCCGTTGGTAGGAGAAAAACGAGAATGAGCTGGGTTTCGCCTTCCGGGTGTGTCAGTCTGCCCCAGGAGAGAAGAGACAAAAAAAAAAAAAACGTAGTAGTAATGATAATGGGATTAGGGTAGCAATTAGTGGGATGCCGGGGACGGCCATGCAGTTCAGTATATTATTAGCATTATTACTACTATTCTATCTGGGGCTTTTTGGGGGGTCTTTGGAGATAACGTGCAACGAGATAGAAGGATGCGATGGAAAGTGGAGAGTTCAGTCCAAGGAACATAAAATCACCTGCTGGAGGAAGTTGTGAGCGTTTGTGGGTTCATGTCTCTGGTTCGCATTGTGTCTGGGGGAAGAAAGAGATAGACAGAGTGAGAAAGAGAAAGAGAAAGAGAAAGAGAGAAGTGTAGAGTTTGGGTAATGATATTTGCAATTGTTCCACGTGTTTGTGTTTGGAGCCGCGTTTTGGTGCCGCGAATGTCTATGGATATCAATTGCTGTAGCTGCCTTGGGGTGGGGCGGGGCCATTAGTCGTGGCTGTAAAGACCTGCATGCATCACGCATTTCTCTTTGTGTCTTGCCTTGTTGCCGTTACCGGAGCTTGTGAATGTTTTTTTCTTCCATTTTTATTTCCACTTCTGCGTTTGTGTGTGCGTATGTTTCTCTTGGCCTCTCTCCTTCCCGTGCTCCTCCTCTCACGTGCGCTTGTGCAGGCGACGTCCACCGCGCGTGGAAATAGCGTGGTGCAGAAATACTGTTCGGGGTTTGCCGTGAAAAATGGAATTCCGCAAACTCGATCCCCGCCGAAAGAGCCCGTTTTACGAGCAGCAAGATGTGTCGGAGCGGCTTGACACTCTGCAGGGCACAGTTGCGATCCTGAGGCAACGGCAGGAGCATCAGGCGGGGCAGTGGCGTGCTGTGTGCGAAGAGCAGCGACAGCACTGCGCCGACCTGGCGTCTATATACCAACAGCTGCAGGATCTGCTCCTCGCAGGCGGAGACGGGGAGGCGAGACAGCGGAGCGGCAGCAGTGCGGGGGGGCCACCGCAAGAGTCGTTGCGAGGTGAAGTCTGTGAGTTGCTGCGTAACTTCAAAGATCACATCGAGCAGCACACGACGGAGACAAACCAGCGTCTAGACAACATGCAGCGCTCCCTGGAGGAGATGGAAGTGAGGGCGGAAAATGACAATCGCTGCGTTGCACGTCAAGAGGAGCGCCTGACGCGGCTCGAGGAGCAGCAGAGGGAAATGCTGCGGCGGTTGTCCTCTGCCTCAACGCGGGACGATCTTGAGCGGCTCCGCGCCACGGTGTCGCAACAGCTGCACTCCCAGCGAGAGGATGCCGCGGCTTCCACACAGCGTTACCTGGGGAACGTTGATGCACAGCTCACCGCGCAGGAAGCTCACTACCGTGAGGAGCATAGGTGCCTTCAACGAGAGACGCAGCAATCCATAGAGCAGGCCATGCAGCGGCTGCAAGGCCAACTAGATTCCTTTTCTGGCGAACTTCAGACGCAAGCGTCAGATATAGAAGTTAGGGCCTCAAACATGGAAGAGCGGACGAGGGGCGAGGTGCGGGAGATGCTAACGGCGCACGTGGCAAAGACATGTGAACAGGTTGAAGAGGTGCACCGTGAATTGACCGGCAAACATCAGCGGCTTGTCGAAGACACGATGAACGCGTTGGGGAAGATGGCTAATTTGGCTGAAGAATTACCGCGGAAAGTGTTTTTGCTGCAGGAAGATGTCGCCAACATTCATGGCGCTCTCGATCGCCACGGAGAGGCACTGAATGAGCAGTGTCTGCAGGGTTCGCTGCAGGGTGCGTTTGACGAGGTGAAGGACTGGCTGCAGGACCTCGAGCGGCGTGCGTTGGGACGTGGGGAGTTTGACGAGTCGATGGCGGGGATTGACGACAAACTCGCCGCACTAAAAAAAGAGTTTATCCTCCGCAGCCTGGCTGAACGCACCACGGAGCATGGAATAAATGTTGAGGGTGATGGCTCTTTATCCACTGCCGCTGGTGGCGGAGGTGGTGATGCTGCTGATTAACGGCGTCACGGGAGGCAGGGAGGCAAGGGGGATTGAGGAAAGGAGGGCAGCTGTAGCTTATCAGGGCACAACCGTGCAAAAGCGCGCGCACACACACAAACAGAGAGAGAGAGACATACAGGCTCGTTTCCTTACTCTCCCTTTCTCTCTCCCCCCCCTTTTCCCCACCCCACCCGTTCTTTCTTTGCCGTAGTGTTGTTCCCTTTGCCATCTGTGGAGTAAAGCAGCATCCTGCCGTGGGGCCTCTTCCCGGAGGGTGCCATCGCCACCCCTGCTATGAGTGCCCCTGTGAATTATTTTATTCCGCTCTCCTCTTCCCTGCGTTGCGGTATTTGCTACGAATTCCTTTTTTTTTTTTGTCCTTACTTTTGAAGCTTTTTTTTTCTATCTCTTTCTCTCTCTCTCGTGTCCGCGCGCGGCCGCTTCTTTTCCGCCTGCTGGCGCTGACGCCGCGCAACACCGTGCCATTCGCTTCCCCACCAGCAGTTGCAGGCGGGGATCGTCTTGTGGTGTTGGCAACTCCTCCCCAATGGCGTCGGCGAAGCCGGAGGAGGTCACCGTCTCCGACAACGTGCTGGCCAAGCTGGAGCGGGAGTTCAATGAGGCGATGCAGGCGTTAGAGGACCACGAAAAGTTTAGCAGCTTTCGTGACGAGTACGAAAAGCTGCACCGGGCTTTGATCAACAGCCATGAGTCGGAGAAGCGGCTGGTGCGGCGGTGCCAGCAGCTGACGCAGGAGCTGATGAGTAACGCGGCAAAGATGCAGGCCGCCGTGAAGCTCTCGCAGGGCGACCACAGCACTATTGAGGCGCTCAAGAAGGAGATCGAGAAGGCCTGGCGTATGGTGGACACCGCCAACGAGAAGGACGCCCGCGCGAAGGAGACAATCAAGAAACTCAAGGAGGAGGTGTCCTCGCTGCAGGAGATTGTGGAGAACGGCACCGAACTCACCTCCACTCAGACAGCCACGCTAGAGGAGCTGAAGCTGGAGAAGAAGCGCATGCAGTCGGAGTACGACGAGCTCGTCAAGCAGATGGAGACGCTGACGCGGGAGACGCTTGAAATTGGCCAGAGGATGAAGGAGGCCGATGCAGAGATGCGGAACAACCAGGAAGAGCTGCGGCGTGTCTCGGACCGGGAGAAGACGGTGCGGCAGGAGTATGAAAAGGAGGTGAAGGCGCGGGAACGGGCCGAAGTGCAGGTGCGTGAGCAGATCATCCTCGTGCAACAGCGTGAAAAGGAGCTGAAGACGCATGAACAGCTGTACAACAAGCTCAACGCCGCCGTCAATCTCCTGCGGGTGCAGCACCAGGAGGATCAGAACAAGCGGCAGGCACTCGCTCAAAAGGTTGAGACGGCGGAGAAGCAGCTGTTTCACACGCAGCAATCGTACGATGACGCCGTGGACACCACCGAGGCCCTCAATGAACGCCACCGGGCGGTTCGCAAGGAGATCACGGAGGCAGAAAAGAAGGCTGTAGAGATACGCGCAGAGGAGCAGCGAATCCATCGGGTGCGGGACAACGACTTTAAGGAGCTCTGCCGCCTTGTGCAGCAGAACGAAGACATACGTCGGGACCAGGGAAATCTTGAACGGCAGCTGACGACCCTTCAGAAACGTATCGAGACGGTGCGGAGGGAAAAGGAGGACATGCACCGTGCCTTTGAAATTATGCAGCGGGAAAAGGATACGTTGAAGAAGTATGCCGAGAAGGAGCGGGAGAAGATGCAGGCCATTGAGAAACTTATCGCGAACGAGGTGGAAAGCCAGGCTGAGATTGAGGACGCCATTGCCCGTGAGCGTGAGATCAGTGCGCGTCTGCGGCAAACGGTGGCGCGACTGGAGAGTGAAAGGGAGAAGTACGTGCATGAGGTCTCGCAGGTCTCACTGCACCATACGCAGGCGCAGGAGGAACTGAAGATTGCAAGCATCACCTGTGAGGAAACCCAAAAGGCGATCGACGAGAGTGAGCATAAGCTTAAAAGGCAGCAGAGTCGGTATGAGCAGGTGCGCTCGGAGCGGAATATGTACTCAAAGAAGCTCATTGAGTCCCAGGACGAGGTGGTGGAGTTGAAGCAAAAGTTTCGCATGATGGACCACCAGATTCTTCAGCTGAAGGAGGAGCTTGCGATGAAGGAGAAGAAGTTTCAGGAGGAGTCCGGCTCACAGAAGGTGTCAAAGGACAAGCTGACCAAGGTTCGCAAACTAGTCAACGAGCGCACCGCCGCACTGGATGACGCCAACCAGCAGTGCGAGCACGTGGGGCAGCAGATAAAGCAACTCGTGAAGGTCATCAACCAGTGCGACAAGGAGCTCAGCGCGCAGCAGAAGCGGTTCCTGGCCGTGAGTGGGGAACGCGACCTCTTGGGCACGCAGCTCATACGCCGCAACGACGAGCTGGCCCTCCTTTACGAGAAGGTGCGCACGCAACAGGAGATGTTGACCCGCGGGGAGGCCGCCTACCGGGCGCGGATAGAAGACATGCGGCTGTTGCGTTTAAAAATAGAGGACCTGAAGCGGCAGTCCCTGATCGCGCACAACCGCGCCCTCCACACGGAGAAGCTGAAGGAGGACATCAAACAACTAAACTACGATCTGCGGGCGCAGCAGGCGAAGGTGCAGGCCCTCACAGAGGAGGCGGAGAACCCGAAGAACGCGCTCCGTTGGGAAAACGTCTCTGGACGCGACCCCACACCGGAGGAGCTGGAAGAGAAAATCACACGACTGCAGCGTCGTCTCATCACCAAGTCGGAGGAATGCGTCGAGAAGGACATGGAACTTCAGGAGAAGCAGCGGCTAGTGACGGAGCTGCAAAACATTCTCGCCCGTCAACCGGGAATGGAGGTGGCACGACAGTTAAACCTGATGCAGAAGGAGCTGGGCCACAAGAATTCGGTGATGAAGCAAAAGGCGTCAGAGCTCAACATGACATCTACGCACATTTCGGAACTAAAGTACGAGGCGGAGCGTCTACGACGCGAACTCCATGAAACAAAGCGAAAGTACTACGAAACACAGATGAGCAACGACAAACTCTTAGATAATCTCACCCAGGCCAAGCAATCGGTGGCCTTCCCTCGATTTTGATTTTCCGGCACTGCTGGACGTCGCGCTGCGCCCCCGCATCGTCGTGTTGAGTGTCTGGATCGACGGAAAACGGTCAACCCTCATCATCATCATCCTGTTGTTGTTTGCGCAATATATGTGTGTGTTTTTTTTGTATTTGACGTGATGTGCCCGAATCACAAGTTCCCCGGGTGGCACGACATATGTACAAAAACATATATATGTCCCAGTGCATGTAACGTATACTGCGTTTGGTGCTACTCTACGATTCTGCTGCATCTGTTGATGTTGCAAGCAACCGGAGCAACTGCACAGGACCACACCGCACTCTCCCTCGGCGCGTGAGTGTGTGTGTGTGTGTGTGGGCGACATGGCGATTGAGGGGAGGGGCATGCGGCGTGGCAGTCATTTTTTTTTGTACGCACCGATTCACTTCATTGCCCTTCCTCCTGCTTCTCCTGCTTCTCCTGCTTCTCCTGCTCCTCCCCTATCCTTTCCTTTCCTTTCCTTTTTTTTTATTTTGTGGTTTATTTTATGCATCTGTTTCTTCTTGGTGTAGTTCTGCTCACGTAAACCCATCGACTCAGAATGACCTCTGTGGAATCCGGCGCCAAGGTCCTCCGCATGAAGGAGAGCGACGTGCAGAAGCTGGTCGCGATGCACTGCCACCTCGGCACCAAGAACCGCAGCAACGCCATGAAGAAGTACATCCACAGCCGCACGAAGGATG